TGTCGAGTAAGCTGAAAGGATTTAGAATTGGCGGGCGGAAGGGCGGTCACATGGGCTAGTGATGTTATGAAGGGGGCCGATCTGAGCCACTCACCGCGGGCGGGAGCATTTGAGTGGCCTACTTTCCCCCGCTACCGCGCTTCCTCGGCTCTCGGCGTCTGATCCAGATGCGAATCGCGGAGTAGACGATGCGGAACTACAGCGGGCGACTAATGGAGCAGTTTGCCGCATTCAAACAAGGGAGAACTCTGCTTATATAGTTGACGAAAGGTAATGTCATTGTGGGTGCGGCGGGTGGGAGATACTCAATGCGCTAAACTCCCGCCTCTCGCGCTTCCTCGGCTCTCGGCGTTTGAGCCAGATGCGAATCCCAGAGCAGACGATGTGGAACTACGGCGGGCGGATCACCGAATACCTTTCTGCGTTCTCATAGGAGAGAACTCTGTTTATATGGGTGAAGCAGCCCCGCGTCAGTATAGCTGTGGCGGACGGGTAACATTCACACACGCGTACTCCCGCTTCTCGCGCTTCCTCGGCTCTCCCCGTTTGATCCAGATGCGAATCCTGGAGGAGAAAATGTGGAACTACGGCGGGCGCATACCGAAGCACCTTCTAGGCTCACGCAGAGGAGAACTCTGTTTATGTGGACGGAGATTCCCTATTGGTCATGGTATACGCGGCGGGCGGGCAACATTGAGTCACATTGTCATGTTTGGCTCACAGGGGACTGAGCGTGGAGGTGATAGGTCCGAATACGATAGGGAAGAAAAAGCCATCGTCGAAAACCGCGGTTGTGTTCTCGGTTTGACAGGCGAGTGGGAAGGGAAGCATAGCTGGTATGGCGGCAAGATCCAGCAGGTCATCACTCTACGCGTCTCGGGAAACCCAGGGCAAGAGCGTTACGAATTTGAGCTTGAGAAACCCAAGATCTCTCGCTCTCACTGCCTCTCGCGCTTCCTCGGCTCTCGCCGTCTAATCCAGATGCAAATCCCGGATCAGACAATGTGGAACTACCGCGCGTGCATCACGGAGTACCTGTCGCGCCACTCGTTTGCGATGTGGGGACGCGGCGTATGCAAAGGAGAAACAGGGTTAAAACCGCCCAACGTGATTGCGGGTGAAGCGGGCAGTAAATATGCCTTCTCCTATAATGCCGCCTCTCGTGCCTCCTCTTCCTTGGCGTTGGCAGATATGGATCCCAAAGCATAAGATGTGGAACTACCCCCTGTGTCCAATGTGTACGTCTACTACTACTGGACAGAGTAAGACTATTAAGCAGTCTTTGGGCCCCTTGACCACTCTGGTTGGCATGTCCCCGCCCATACTTGCACTCCTTGCTTCATATAGAAAGCAGAGCATACTCTATTGCCATCGACAATTGGAACAGAATGCCTGAGCAGCTTCCCGCAGACAGCAATCACACAGCCGGGGGGATATGCAAATTGAAGTCCCAGGGCGGAAAGGTTGAACACTCCGCCATCATAGTCACCCGCCGTAAATAAGATGTCATACCAAGGGAGGTAGCCGCCCGTGTCTTTATGCGGTTCGGTGACCCGATTTGCAATGACGCCAACGCCAGTGAAAACAGAATCCCAAAGCCGAGCACAGGGAGTTGTGTGGAAATTCTTGCAAAGGCCGAGGACCTCCCGCGCGGCCGCATATTGCTGCGGATGGGTCAATGCGAGGATGAGATTAACAAGACAAAATAGGTGGTGGGAGCCCGCCGCCCAAGACTGAATTGAAGGGTGGCGGCGGAAGTTGGCGCTCGACACAGGGGGGTTCAATAATTCTCCTGGCTAGTAGTGACTAATGAGCTCATTCCCGCCCGCCATATCAGCAGACTTACCCCTTGGCCAATCCCATACCAACCCATGGAGATATCTATTGACCCCGGAGGAAGCGCGGTGGCCCTATCCGCGATAGGCTCCCAAAAGCTGGCGGGACTCTGGCGCCACCTGTTGCGATCTTCAGCGATTCCTGAAAGCATATTTTGCTTCAACAATGGCAAAACATTGTTGTGGTATTCCTACAGTGATTGTGTCAACCTCCTGTGAATCACTCTTCCGCGGACTTACATTGTGTGCGGACATAGAGATAGCAAATGGTAAGTACCAGGCCAGTACCTTCTCGTTCGCGTCGACTATCTTGCAAGGTTTCACAGCGCGGATGGTGGATCCCCGTGCATGTTGCTCCAAAGCATTTACCCGATCCCACATGTCGTCCGCTGAATCCACGAAGATGGCGGGGCGGATCTGAGCATCACATGCGTCTTGAAATGGCCCCAAGCCGTCTTTCCGCGCTTTGACTTTTTCGACATGAGCGAGATATTCTTCAACCGTTAAGGACAGTCGGACTGCATGTCATCAGTATATTTGTAGCATATCTGAAACGCGAATCAACCTATGCGGGTGTTTGCCTCCGCTATTTCGAGGCTGACCCGCCAGCAATCATATGCCAGCTCCGCGGAAAGAGCTTCGGGCGGAGTGGGTCGATCTGGTTGTTCAGCAAAGCACGCCTTGCCATAGTCTACAACACAGTCAATAAATTCGAGACTATGGAGAAAATTATACCGAGCCGCTTGAAGTGCTTCCTCATCTCGTGATGACCACCCCTCGTTTGTCTGATAAACACCAGTCATAGCAGGGTTTGATATTTTTCATCCTCTGCTTTCCGCCTTTATATTCAATACTGCGGGCGAAATCGGAATTAGCATAGCATCTCGGCAGTGGAACAATCCACTGGTCAGCGATCACGTGACATATACGGCGGCAATCAACAAACATCAATAAGAGCAAATTCAGGCGATTTGATACATATAGGGGCCCCGAATGTCCTTCAGTCCTCTGTTTGCGTCGCACCCATGTCCGCTAACGTGTCCACTAAAGTCAAGCGTCCCCGCGTCCCCGATTGGTTTCCGGACCTGGGTTTCAAGCACCCATCGTCTGATGCGGATTTTCATGCTGTGTTTCTCGTCTTTGAGGCTCGCGTCCGCGAAGCTTTGTCCAAGAAAGAACACGCGGCTCCGACAGTTTTTCTGCAGCATTGGGTTCCAATGGCGGTAAGTAGAGATTCTTTCCGCCCGCCGAGGCTGCATAACCGCCCCACGCAGAGAGCTATGCTTCCATTGATGGCCTACGCGAAGAAGGCCAGTAAAATTCAGCCGCCAATCCTGCTGGAGCGCGCGTTGGTGGGCGGTCTGCCAACAGATGACGCCCGCTTTCCAATTAAAGCGGCAGACCTCTCCGCCTCCGACTTTCAACGCCCCGCCGATATCGGCACCGAGTTGTGGTGGAGTGAGTGGGGAACCCCAGTGGTCCACACCAATAACCTGCCCAAGGATGTGCCCGCTGTGGAAGAACCTAGGGTTCCGCCCGCCTCTCTCCTCTTCTCCGACGTCAATGCGATGGCGGATCCCCAGGCTACTCAGGCGCCCGCTTCACCAGCATTATCCCGCCAAAGCGACACTCCGACAGCGGCCCCACGTGAAAAGGAACGCCCGGCCAAGCGGCGAAGAGTAACCGCTGCAGAAAGTGCTGCAGCAAGTACTGCTCCCCAACTCCCCAGTGAGCCCTGGGGTTCTATCCCGCATTTCCTGTATTTGAGCTAACGGTTCCCTTCCAGAGCGTAAGACAGTTCGAGCGGGCGGACGCGGTGGTGCTGTTGACCAAGCATCCGCCTCGATGAGTGCATCTCCCCAACCAGCCGCGAGTGGGTCTACTCACAAAGGCGATGACACTGTTGCCTCCATCAGGGCCGCTCAGCGAGTCCAGTCGGTTGCCATTTCAAAGCTGCGGTCCGAGCTGGAATTGTTAGGGCAAGAGATCGTCAAGGCCAACCGCCGTCTTGATCGGACCCCTACCATGGAACTCGCGGATAGACTGGAGGCGCGGATGGATGCACTTCAGGCGGGCCACACTATCTTACAGAGGGAACGTGAGATTCAGGACTTTATGCTGAAGGCCCAGCATGACCAAATCGCGACTTTGACGGAGGAGAAGGCGGCGGCGCAAGCGGCCAGGGCAGCTCGGAAAGCGGACAAGCTCGCTCGCTCGGCGGGGCGTCAGCCGCCAGCCAACTAATTTGCACGATGTACTACGGCGGCAGGTGATCTAGTTGTGGTGGTTATGCGTGTATGCAATCTTGATGCGGCAATGAAATGAACACTACCTTTCTGATACCACAATAGGCCTCTCCCACGTAGTATACTTATCAATGTTAGGTATAGGGCCGACTCATTTGACTTATGCAATAACCACCCGCGTCTTCGACGTCCACCCAACGAGGATGACAATCATCCGCCTACACGACAAATAACGCGTTGGCTGCCTCGATCGTGCTTGCTCATCTTCCTGCGAACGTTCAACCATAAGCATAGAGTTCTCCTTTGCGTGAACAGGGAAAAACACTCGACCACACAACATAAACAAGGGACAGGAGGGGTACTCGGGTATGCCCCCCGCCGTAGCTCCACATTGTCTGCGCCTGGAAGAGGAAGCACAAAATGCCGGAGTACAGGTGTATGAATGCTACCCGCCCGCCGCAGCTACATTGACGCAGGGCTGCTTCAACCATGTAAACAGAGTTCTCCTGTGCACGAACCTAGAAAATGCTGGGCTATGCGCCCGCCGTAGTTCCACATCGTCTGCTCCGGGATTTGCATCTGGATTAAACGCCGAGAGCCGAGGCAGCGCGAGAGGCGGTGACAGTGAGAGATCTTGGCTTCCTCGAGCTCGAAGTCATACCACTCTTGCCCTGGGTTTCCCGAGACGCGTAGAGTGATGACCTGCTGGATCTTGCCGCCATACCAGCTATGCTTCCCTTCCCACTCGCCTGTCAAACCGAGAACACAACCGCGGTTTTCGACGATGGCTTTTTCTTCCCTATCGTATTCGGACCTATCACCTCCACGCTCAGTCCCCTGTGAGCCAAACATGACAATGTGACTCAATGTTGCCCGCCCGCCGTGTATACCATGACCAATAGGGAATCTCCGTCCACATAAACAGAGTTCTCCTCTGCGTGAGCCTAGAAGGTGCTTCGGTATGCGCCCGCCGTAGTTCCACATTTTCTCCTCCAGGATTCGCATCTGGATCAAACGGGGAGAGCCGAGGAAGCGCGAGAAGCGGGAGTACACGTGTGTGAATGTTACCCGCCCGCTACAGATACAATGACGTAGGGCTGCTCCACCCATGTAAACAGAGTTCTCCTGTGCGCGAACCTAGAAAGTGCTTGACTATCCGCCCGCCGTAGTTCCACATCGTTTGCTCCGGGATTCGCATCTGGATCAGACGCCGAGAGCCGAGGAAGCGCGAGTGGCGGGACATTAAGGCATTGATTAATTCCCGCCCGCCCATACACCGTTCCCTTGGGCAGCTTCAGCTATATAAACAGAGTTCTCCTTTGCGTGAACGGGGAAGGTAGCCAGTTTTATGCGGGCGGTGGTTCCACATTGTCTGCTGCGGGATTAGCATCTGGATTAGACGCCGAGAGCCGAGGAAGCGCGAGAGGCGGGAGTGTAGCGACCCAATGTCGCCCGCCCGCCGTAGCTACAATGACGTAGGGCTGCTTCACCCATATAAACAGAGTTCTCCTCTGCGTGAGCCTAGAAGCACTTGGCTACGCGCCCGCCGTAGTTCCACATTGTCTGCTCCGGGATTCGCTTCTGGATCAAACGCCGGGTTCTGAGAAAGGGCGAGAGGCGGGAGAATAAATGAATGAGTATGACCCGCCGGCCGCAGCTATAATGACATAGGGATTCTTCGCCCACATAAACAGAGTTCTCCTCTGCTTGAACCTGGAAAAGCACTTGGTTACAATCCCGCCACACGCTGAGACCCGAGGAAGCCCAAGAGGCGGGGTTATAGGGACCATTGAAGACACCACCCTCTGCCACTGGCATCACTTTCATCAATGAAGATGGATCAAGGCATCTGGCTTTTGGTGTATCCTATGGCGCAAATATTTCATAACAGTAGGCATAGTGCTAACGTGGCTATTCTAGGTAGCTTTCAAATACCCTTGATTTTTGGCTCCGCCATTCTTCCAGCTACCTACATTTGTACGGAGCCGCCTACCATTTCCTGATCCTCCCTCGTTGTTGGCCCCAGTATCAGTCACCTTATCCGCTTTCGAGGTCGCTCGGCGAGCACGTTTACTCACTCCAGAAGGGTCTCCGCCCACGGCTTTCCGCTTTGTCCTTGTGACAGGGACCTTGGCAGGCACTGGGGAAGCATCTTGAGGAGATTGGAGCAGGGCTGTCCTGCTCTTCTTGCTGGCAGGGTCCCTAGTAACATTTGCAGCAGCGGTTGTTGGGGAATTCAATGAGATAGGCAGGGCATCTGGGACTCTGGGGGTGACGACGGGCGGAGAGGGTTCCTTGGGTGGGATAGAGGCTACAATCTTTGGCGATTTGTTAGTAGACAGGCCATTATTCACGGGCGGGATACTGGAGGGAGCAGTCTCAGTTGTTGACATCCTAGAGGGAATAAGAACAGTGGGCGGGATGGCGGACGTAGCAACTTCAGTGGGTGGGATGATAGAGAGAGCAGTGTTGACAGGAGGGCTGTTAGAAGGACCAGCTTCCACAGATGGGATAATAGAGCGAGCGGCATCGGCGGGCGGGATGCTAGAGGAAGCAGCTTCCCCAGATGGGATACTAGAGGGAGCGGCTTCGGCGGGCGGGCTGGTGGAGATAACAGGCTGGGTGGGAGGGACAGACGATACAGTAGCTCCTGCTACAGGGGTGGATGAAGGAGGTAGAGGTGTCAAGGGGGCTGGGGACGACCCACTTGAGGCAGAATTTCCCTTCAGAACAAACCTAACAGGGTCTGTTCCCCCGCTTTGAATACAAACCCATTGCTTAAATAACAATGTCAAGGCGGGCTTGGTCATGTCAGAGGGTTCCTGGAGGGTAACACAGGGTTCTTCATGGAAATAAATCCCTGTCCTTGGGATGACAATGTTCCGCCAAGAGATCCGCTTCTTCGACCCAGTGTCCAATGTGTAGACTGCCTGCATACAATCACGGAAGGTAGCCTTGAGCACATCATGAGGGGCCTTCCAGCAATTATCTAGCAAAAGAGGATAGCCATCCGCCCGCAATCGGTAGAGTTGTGTAGTCACTCGGGTAGACTTGCCCTTTACTGTCTGTCCAGTTGGACGCTTGCCTTTGACAACAGGGTTTATTATTGGACATAGGTACAATGAAAGAACAGAACACCCACCAATATACCTCTCAAATATATGTTCTGAGAATCTTGCAGGCCAAGGCAACTCGCCTGGGGGAGCCACCCGCCTATTCTTGTCAAAGTACTGCGGGTGACGTTTGCAAAACATATTTGGGTCATCTGAGAATACCATCCCTGTGTGTCCAGTTCGTGGATTACCATCCTTATCGCGGTAGCCAACGTATGTCGAAGACTCCCCGCCCCAGTGCCGCATGATATGCAGATAATCGCGGACCATATGGTCCCCCAAGCCTTTTGCTGCATCCCTAATAATTCTGCCATGAGAGGCCTGTGTACAGTAAAGGGCAATCTGCTTACCGTCGCTGTATGTCCCGTGGGGCGCCTTTCTCATTCCAAAGGTCTGCAACCTTATTCCAGCTCTCCTGCACCTCTTCACCCAGAAACCCCCATAGATACGCCCTTGTTCGACTCCAGTGTCCCACCCATCGACCGTCATTACCATCCAGGGGACAAGGCTTCAAGTCATTCTCAGTCAGAGGCTTCCCTTGCATCTGCTTGAGAGTTGTATATCTCTCCCAGGCCCCAGGCAAGTAAGCCTCAATGTTATCTTTCTTGCACTGACAGAAAGCTTTGAAGCCACTCCAAACCCCCCATGGACCACTGTTCCGCCCCGCCGTCATGCCATCTGAACCCTTCAAGGCAATGTTAAGTGGGTCAAAGTAAGCCCAAATCAACTATCAGAAGCAAGTAAGCACAGATGCTGAACAAGAATGCTCTGCATACCTTTTCCAACTTTTCCAGACCAGCCACACTGCCTTCTAACTCAATATGCTTATGAACAAGCACCCGCGCTAACTTCCAGCAAACATCATCGAGGTTCCGATGGCGGACAGTAATGTGGCGGGATTTAGCAAGAACGTCCCACTCAGCCCGCCATTCCTCCATACTTGCCTTCACCTCCTCTGATAAACAAGGATCTTTGAGGAGGGCGGCTCGTTTGCTAGGTTCATTTTCCTCATCCGCCAATAGCTCGCCCGGGCCGCAATCAGCAACCAACCGTGCAATAGATTCTGGATCGTCGATGGATGGATTGTTGTCACCGTTGGAAGGAATGCCAGCTAAAGAACTGTGGGGGGGGGAGTTGTCTGAAGGGTTGTCTGAAGAGTTGTCTGAAGGGTTAGCAGGAGATATGGTTGGAGTATTGATGACAGTGTCCGCAGGCGTGTTGGCGGGACTGTTGGCGGGACTGTTGGCGGGACTGTTGGCGGGACTGTTGGCGGGACTGTTGGCGGGATTGTTGGCGGGATTGTTGGCGGGACTGTTGGCGGGACTGTTGGCAGGACTGTTGGCAGGACTGTTGGCGGCGGAGGAAGACTGATTGTCGGTGTGGGAAGGCATCAAAGAAGTTAAGAAGAGATGTGGAAAAGGGAGAAAAGAATGTGAACTGTGGAACTGTTGAGGCAGCCTGCCTTTTAAGCTTTTTCACAAATCCCTCTCCCAGGGGCATTAAATCACTAGATCAATAAACCAGTGTTTCGGAGGGCAAGAACTCCTTTCCACCTGTCATTGATCATCACTCCCTGCTCTGGGTTCATATCAATTGGTCAACTGTTCGGATCCCACACACATGGATACTATGTAACCAAGGTAATGGTTACTTCCAACCCACCGGAGTTAAGCTTCCTAATATAATCTTCCCAACACTCGATATAGCCTTTGGGAGACTATTCAATGGGTAAATGGAGGCTGTAGGCGGACAAGGTCATGTGGCCTGGCATTGTATACAGGCTCAAGATTAGTGCTGATAAGAGCTGATGAGATAGATCCCTTAGCTCTCCTACTACTCCACCCTCATTGTCCACACTCTCCCATGCCAGTACGTCGACGAAACCTTGAAGGGGATCTTGCTGGGGACGATGGGACAGAGATGGAGACATCATATGAGCCTCAGGAAACTGTACAATGGGGCAGAGTGGTGGAGACGTATGTTCCTGTAACAACACAAGTTCACCATGATATTGCAGATGTTTTACCAACCCCAATGCACCTGGAGCCTAGCTTCGAATATGTCAGTTCATCACCAAACGCATCAAAGAGGCCTAGGCTACTGCTGGAGGACAATTACTCTGAAGATGGCCTTGAAGATTGCTTCTATGGATTGGAGGATGGGGACGACATGAACATACCTGTTGCTGGTGATGATGAGAAGTCTACAAAGGTGCGTGATGATAACATGCCTGCTCCCTCCACCTGTTAACCCCTCTCACATCAGGCAAGCCATGACTACCTAAGGCTATGGCAAAAATCTCTGCCCAAGTACATGGATTGTCTTGCATCATTGGAACACCGGTCTCTTGATCATACCACAGTTGGGCAGGAGTTGCATACCTCTCCCCTACCCATGTGCAGGTGGTGCAGATCCAAGGAATCTACTTGGCGATGTGATGATTGCTCGGGGTTTCCGGAGGGATGTGAAGAGTGTTTCTCGGAGGCTCATAAATTCCAGCCTTTTCATAATGTACGGTCATGGACAGGTGCGTACTCATGTAAACTGTTGATGATGCTGGAAATACCATTTCACACTAACAGGCACATACTATGAGCCCTCGTTCTTGTTCAGGGCTGGATTGTTTATCCACCTTGGTCATGGTGGCTCGCCCTGCCCTGCTCCCAGACTCAAGAAGAAGGAAAAGAACACTTCCCAGAAACCAGAGAGACTTTCTTTTCAAATTGGAATGGCAAAGGCATTCACAAGGGAGTATCTACACCATGATCTCCACCACACTTATCTGACTGTGGTCGATTGTAACGGTCTTCATCAAGTCCTTGTTGACTGGTGTCGGTGCAAGGATAGGGAAGACGAAGAGGTCCAACTGCTGAAGTTTGGTTTGTGTCCTGCTACACCCTCCGCGCCGCGTACCGCCTTCACCTTTCGAGTCCTGGACGACTTTTTGCTTCAAAACAGGGAGTGCAAAGTCCCCGCCATGAGCTATTTTGCTCAGTTGCAAAGGAAGACACTTGACATTGCACCTCATGAAGTTCCCGTACTTGGTCCAGCCCTAATGTGATGGAACGTATACTAACTTCTCCCATAGGGCAGATATAAAGAGCTTCTCCGCTGTGCAAGACAATGGAGATTGATAAAGGCGCTGCGGGCACATGGGCATTCACTTGGCGGAACAACGGAGGCAGCAGAAGGCGGAACAACAACGACGGCGGAAGGCGGACAAGATCTTCACCTATCTCAAGGCGATCTAGCTACATCTTGCCCAGCCTGTCCCCGCCCTGGTATTAACATGTCAGAGGGATGGGAGAATGATCCAGCCTGGTCAGTGCATCTGCGGACAGTGTTTCAAATGTAGCTGACCCGCCCAAACCTGACCCGCGTACACCTACAAGGTGGAAGCATTCAGTTACCCTGTGCATGGATGGCAACTTCAAGGCGGATCATCTAAAGATGAGGAAGGAAGAAACAGATGTCAGCCTGACTGACGGTTCAGGCTTTATGACAGAAAGCTCTGCATATGAAGCCCATCTCAAAACCCAATCAAACCAGAAGGAGGTGAGCCATCAATCTATTGCAAGGCGGAAGGGTGCAAATGTCCATTTCATAGATATCTACATGCAATGCACACCGCGCGGTTACACAGGCAAATGAATCTCGCGGATTGCACAAGGACGTCACTGGGATAGCCGCAGTTGCCTGTGGACGACATGGCTTCTTTGTGCCTGGTACAATTGTTAATTTTCAGAAAGGGGAACGGTGGGTATCTCCGCCATCATCCGCCACTCAAAGCTGAATCTGCCAAGCTTTTGCAACATTGACTGGGCACTGTACATGGCCTTGCTTTGGTTCACTGGAATTGCCCAAGTGTTTGTCCTTTACGATATTTGGTGCGTTTACGGAAAAAAGTTATGGGACAGATTTAGGTCAAGTAGTACCCTCAAAATGCCCAAGGACGTGGTCATCACGGGCGGCATTGGGCAATTTCATGTCCACGGTCACAAAGACAATTGCTTTGCAAGATTTTCGCCTGCGTTCCTTCTGGGGGCGGGATGGGTGGATGGAGAAATTCTTGAAACCTTGTGGTCTGCATTAAATGAAATCAGCCGAAGTACCCGCTCCATGACAACATCTCACCGTAGAGAGGTACTTGACGACCATATGGATGATTCAAATTGGAAGAAACTGGTCCGCCTTGGTGTGTGTTCCTCTGCCCGCGGGAATGTCGAGTTGACTAATGTTTTGAGGGTAGCGATGTCCTTGGTCGAAAAATGGCGCCGGGCACTTGTTGAATATGACATTTCGGTCGAAGTACTTGGCGGGCTGTCAGAAGTGGCGGGAGTGGAACAAGTGCAGAAATGGACTAGCGAACTTGAAGAGGCGCAGAAAGAGCGGCTTACCAACGAAAAGGCCATGGACCTGTTGACCATCCAGGACGATGATGCTCCTTCCCAAGCCAGCATCCAAGCAAAATTGGCGGGGCAGGCTCCTGGACAAACTGAGTCTATGACTGACATTGAATGGGTGGCAGACGGTATAGATATTGAAGTACAACAGTAAGTTAGAAGGTCTTCCTCCGAGCTGCTTCTGATCATGTATTATAAGAATGCAGGTTGCCGAGCTGGTCCGCGATGCAGAGACGCATGGCACGGCCGCGGCGCAGAAGGCACGGGACGCACGGCGGGCTTTAGAGACGCGGCTCACGTTTTGGCTACGTCAAGCCCGAGTCTTCATGGGGTCTCTGCTTGACGCAACTCCTGATCGGAAGGAGCTGCAGGAGCATCTCCAGCGAGCGGCCAAGCCGCGTCCTCCGCCAATGAGCAACCCAATATCATTGACTGACATTGGTGACTCACCAGAGCAATTTGTATTGCCCCTTCCATCCGCCTACGGAGCTGCAGCATGTGCCCGCCATCAGGTTGCGGACTTGGCCAAGTACGAGGGTGAGCTACGGGCGGGACAAATGAATGACGCTCTCAATGAAGTCAAGCTGGATATCGCCCGGAAGGCCATGATGTATGGTAACGAGATCCGTGCAGCAAAGGGCAGCCAAGCAGCACAGACAAGAGCAAGAGCTAGAGTAGCGCGGGTCGAAGATGATCTTGACCGCCACGCCAACATCTACCGTAAAGGATGGGAGGCAGCAATAAGCCTCAGCTGTCTCAATGCTAAATACGAAGAACTGCTGAGCAGCCACCTGAAAGCTAGTGCCGCAGAGCTAAACCCCGCCACAAGGGGTACAAGGAATTCGCGTCTGCCATGGCTATGGCGGACTCAGCTCGAGAGGGGCGGAGGGCCAGAGTGGCTAGTTACATGTGAGTTGCCTTGATTGCAGTCATCAGGGCAGTATTGCTGATACATATTTTATGACAGTTCAGCGAATCACTTGGATGCGTGAAAAGTGCCGCCTGGATCGATGGAGGGAAGAGATTGAAATCGTTGGGGAGGAGATGGAGCGCGTTCCTCGGTACTTCCGAACGCGGGCTCAAGAGTGGGCTAATCGAGTGGGATCCTCATCTGTTGGTACTGGCTACAAGGTCTGGGCTCGCAGCCAAGAAGCGATGTGGGGAAACTTGGCGCGGATGGCGGACATAGCATTTAAAGGCCGTCCACCCGCGCCGGTGCATATGTCCATTCAAGAGGGTAATACATTCTCGCTATAGAAAGTTTGTCTCAGGATCTCAACTATCCACCTCTGTGGGCCTCCACAATCTGATCGTTAATTCGAGAACTATATTTGAGCATATATACATAACATGATGGCTGTTTCAATGCGACCGCACTACACAAACGAGCGACGTGGGTACTCAGTTTTCCGGGAGCGGCAATTCCACATTGTTTGCTCCGGGATTTGCATCTGGATCAGACGCCGAGAGCCGAGGAAGCGCGAGGGGCGGGAGGTTGAGGCGTTGAATATCCCCCGCCCGCTCACACAGCGTCCATTTGGGCAGCTTCAGCCATATAAACAGAGTTCTCCTTTGCGCGAACAGGGAAGGTATCCAGTTTTAAGCGGGCGGTAGTTCCACATCGTTTGCTCCGGGATTTGCATCTGGATCAGACGCCGAGAGCCGAGGAAGCGCGAGGAGCGGGGCGTTGAGGCATTGAATATCCCCCGCCCGCCCATACACCGTCCAATTGCGCAGCTTCAGCCATATAAACAGAGTTCTCCTTTGCGCGAACAGAGAAGGTATCCAGTTTTACGCGGGCGATACTTCCACATAATTTGCTCAGGGATTCGCATCTGGATTAGACGCCGAGAGCCGAGAAAGCGCGAGGGGCGGGACATTAAGGCGTTGAATATCTCCCGCCCGCCTGAACACCATCCCATTGAGCAGCTTCAGCCATGTACGCGGAGTTCTCCTTTGCGCGAACGGGGAAAAATACGCGGCCAAAATGGCATAACCAGATTTCCGCCTTGGGGGAAGCAGCAGGTTCTCACACTGGCGGCGCCAATGGCGGAACTTATGTGTATCCTGCACCCGCGTACGACTTTATTTGATACGATGGCATATATGGCGGGTCAACGACGCATTCAAATTGTTATGCAGTGGTAGTATTACAAAGAAATTCAGAAGTGGAATTGAACTTTGAGAAGGCCTCGGCCAGGAGGGGATTGCAAGATAAAAACATGCCTCTCATGATCCGACATCGCAGCCGCCCGCGACCTCACGGCATTGCTAACCACCTCCAACCCCTGAGTGCCTTGGTCGCGGAAAAGGGCCTCCGTCGAAAAGAGAAACTCTTCCACCTCGTCCGCCGACATGGCTAGAAGGAGGCGGTCGACGTTGATTTGCCAGCGGCGCAAAGCTGGGTTGGGAGTGGTACCCTCGCCAGTGTTGACGACGGCGGCCGCATCGGAGGAGCTCGGAGGCTCGCGGGGAACAACGTCTGAGGGGACGTGATCGCCAGTGGTGTTGGGCCGTTTGGCGGGCGGCTTCGCGGGAGATGGTGACGCATGCTTACGTTTGGGCAGCGGGACAGAGGCGGCGGTCGGCGGGCTGTCGCTGACATCTATAACCATGCGTTCCGCCTCGCGAGTAGTCGGGGCGGGCGGAGGGATGGCGGGCGCGCTGACACCAGGCGGGGGCACATTGGGCGGAGTGGGGGCTGAGGTTTATCAAACGCCAGAATTGAAGTATTAAAGATATCGGCTTACCCATCGGCTCCTGCTCGTCCTCAGCAGAAGAGACGCTGTCGTCGCTACCGTAAGCCAAGTCCAAGGTGCCAGCGTTATATTGTTCAAGTTCGCTTTGCCATGCTGCTTCAATTTCCGCAAGACCTACACAAGGTGGTCAGCTGAAGGGGAATCAACAACAATGCTTTCTTACTTTGGGGGTTCCCGCTCGCAGTAGTAACAGCCGGTTGCGGGGTGCTGGGCGCACTCGTAGTCTTCGGCTCAACTGCTTTCTTTTTGCCCTTATCCTTGCTCTTCTTGGGCTGCTTAGTAGACGCAGAGGGGGGGAGATCCTCGTCCACCATAGTGACAGTCTCACCGAAGGGCTCTAGTGAACAGTTAGTGGCGGAACGGGGGCGGGAGCCTATACTGTGACTGACCTTCGTCGTCTGATGGGCTCATGAATGGGCCGGGTTGGGGGAGATTGGCAAAAATTGTGGACAATGGGCCGCGCTAAGTACCTTTTTTCTGACGCTTCCAAATGGAGATAGTATGCCATGAGGCACAGGCCATCTGGATCGAGATCTTTGAGAGATCGCCACCCGATCTCGTTATTCCCACGCTCGCAACTCAAAACCCATAAAGGCGCATTCCATTCCACAACCTACATGCTCACCATCATGTCCCGAGAGGGAAGCATAGTACCAAACTGGCCGGCGGCGGAAGGCGGGTGCTTCGTTACCCGCATCACTGACATTAGTCTACCTGGCGAGGTGAACCAGAAGAGCGAGGTGGTGCTCGGGGAGCCGTACTTTCTCAACGAACGCCAACGCACGTTCCGCACTGACGGCTACCATGCCCAGGAAATTATCAATCTTCTATGTTTCCGCCTCACCGTTGCAGTCCGCACCTACTGGGACAAGCGGGCGGGCCAAGGGATTCGTTTCATGTCGAAATGGAGCAATGAGGTGGTGAGTGGCGGATGACACTTGTTTGATCAGGTTGTATAATCCATTACCTCAGCTTTGGCTGGCAAAGGTCTTGGTCACCTTCGACAATTTTGGTATTGCTATCGAACCACCGCCTATACTGAAGTACGCACTTGGCCCCGGGGTTGATCCAACGGCGGCGCGGATGGATGCACAAGAATGGGACGAGTGCCGCCTGTGGTCGTCGAACGTTGGGCTGTGGCCGGCGATGGTCAACATGCCAAACCATTGGTGGAACAACTTGGCGGGCCCCGACAATAGTCCCGACATTACTGCTAGCCTCCCGCCGTCTCCGCCGTCTCCCACACCAAGCGTGCAAGATCAATTTCGCGGGCATTTTCAATTTCAGGCATCGACTCTTCGCTGGGAAATTCCTCCCGCCCATTCCAGCCATCAATCTGAATATGATGGACCGCGGGAGAACCATCAGGCTTTCCCGAGGCCTACGAACCATCCTCCCGTCCGCAGACCTATGGTCAACGCAGAGGCGGGCCCCTCCCGACTCGTGGGTAACGCAGAGGCAGGGCCGTCCCGCAATCAGAGACAATACGGCGGGTCGCGAACTCGCAGCTCCCCATATTGGTCCCGCGATTTACTGGACCTTGAAGCGGAGGAGGATCCCGACATTATTGATGTCTCTCCAAACCCCTACCGCCATCAACAAGTCATCGACCTTACATTGGACAGACAGAGCGATGTTGAAGCTGTCCCAGATGACCAGGTACACAAGTATTTACACACAGACTACAGTGTCACTTATAAACTGAAGGTGTTCCGGCCGCGACGTAACCCGCGGCGTGCGGTGGCTCAACGAACGAGTACGCATTCTCATTTCATTGATGTGATCCCGCCTAACTCCACATTACAAGGACCAGCCCCCATTGTCTTGGATCCGCCCGCAGATCCGACTTGGGAAGTGGGTTCAGCCGCCACCACGCCCTCCGACTCCGATTTCGACGAAGAATTCGACAGGTTGGAAGGTGGAGGTAGTGATCAATCCATGTTGTCAATGAGTGGACTTCTAACTCAACCTGTTAGCACTGGTCGAACTTTTTGACCTCATCATCGAAGAAATGGAAGAGACTGTGGAGAACGCCGCATCCGCCATCCAAAGAGCTGAATGGTTTCAGCGTGGTTGATTGCGGGTATCTTCATATCGGACATGTACTGTACAAATAGTATGCGGACACTTCAAATCTGCTTTTTCAATACATGAACCAGGTCATCCTTCTGGTATGAGGCTGTCCGCCATTGAGCAGACTTCAATAAGGCGGACGGAAGATACTTACAGGCCTCCCATCCCGCCTCTCGCGCTTTCATGGCCGAGGATTTTTCGTGTGACTTGTTGTGTTGTGCACTCTCCTGCGTTTTTTCTTTTCACAAAGGAGAACTTGGTTGTGGCGGCGTCGTATGCCCTCGTGTGTGATCCCGCGATATGCGCCTCCTCGAATCTCAGCGATCACTATGGCGGGCGGGTTGTCAAGTACCTTTCGCCTGGCTGATTCGCGTTTTGTGGGCCTTTCTTTTTGCTGGTTCCCGCGACGAAGAACTCTTCTTATGGTTGCATTTCATGTGGATTATAGGCTGTTGCAGTAGCCGACGGGCGGGCGGACCATGGTCATTTGGCTCGTTGCATTCAAGATGTTTCAATGTTACATTAGACAACGCATATTCAACTACTGATTATTGGCGTTAGCGGACCCGCTCGGCATCGTTTCCGCCACAAGGGTATCCCAGTCCATCCCGAGCTTTTCTGACATCTCCTTGTATTGATCAACGTGCGGCCGCCTTGAGATGTTGGTGATCATCGACCCCACGAGCTCCCGGAGGGCGATGACTTGGTCGGTGAGGTGATTGATGGCCAAGACACTGCTGTCGATCCGTTGCAGCATTTCCACGTGCGACATTGTATCATCCGCACCCCGCTGTCGCTTGCGCGTCGATTCTACCAAAATATGAGTAACATTTCATCATCGGCGGGTCGCGGATACTAACTGGAGCCGTCCTCCGCCTTTCTCTTACCCTTCCCTTCGTGCCTTGGGCCGAGCTTCTTCCACACGTCCTTGAGGGCGGGAACCTTGTGAAGGATATAATTGTACGCCTCATCCGGAATCTCTCGCCACTTATCGTCCGCGATCCCATCGGTATGTCCGCACTTCTTGTGACTCCCCTCTAGGCAAACCAGGCAGGCTCTGCCCGCCATTCCGACGCACCGTACGCGCTTGCGAGAGCAGCTGTGGCAGGGGATGAGATGCTCTACTGCATCGCCGTGCGGATAACCCGCAACTGGCTCGAATTCCGCCGGGTCGACCTTGGGGAGACCCAGGTCTTTGGCAAACTGCTCGGTGACCTTGGCCGCGGGATCTTCTTCCGCCCAGGATGTCTCGCTGGGCATCTTGGCGGCAAGGTTGGGAGCCACCACGTACTGCTCGTACAATCTGTCTAAGTCCTCCTCCGACATCATGGCGGGAAGGGAAGATTGAGTGTTTCCCACGGCGGCCTGAGCCGCCGCAGGAGGCGGACGTTGTTTGGGAGCGGCCGACTCAGAACTCGCGGCTGCGGTCTGGGCTTCAGGTACAGGCAGCCAGCGGGCCCACCACTGGTTTCCGCCAAGATCCGTTGGCAGGTGGGAGGATCGCGGGAGCTCCTCGCCGACGGGATAGCGGTATTTGTCCGAGAACGGGAGGTGGGGCTGGTGAACTGTGTTGACTACCTTCGGGAATGGTCCGTCAGGTCGGACCGCGGACGATATACGGCGGATATCTCGCTGTATGATGTAGTCATCTGGTTGGATTCCGCCACGTAATCAAGCATTAGACTTACCGCCATTGAGACCCATTCGAGCGTAAAGGCTATTTGATCCCCCGACGCCCGCGCAGTAGATCGCCGTTCCAGGGCAGCGCGTAGGCGGGCTTCGGACAACCACAGAAAGTGGACAACGTCCGACGTTGTCCACTCGGAGACAGGGGTGGCGGACAGCTCCGGTGGTGCCCATGTGGGCATTAACACAGCTTGCGGGTCTTGAGTCGCGGGGGCGGCGTTCGCCGGCGATGAAGAGGCTTTTGTTGGTAGAGACATGGTGGATCAGTGGTGGAGTGGGATGGAGGTAGAAGGGAGCGGATCGCGCATCATTTGAAGTGATTGTGGATTTGGCTTTATTTGTGCAAACTAGTCGTGTGAACGCCGCTTGACATTCGATTCGGGGGCAACCGACGCACAATGCCCGCGGTCTCCCGATTCTCGACTGCTTGCTGCATTTGGCAGCGGAAAGCACGTGGACCGAGGCGGCTCGCATTGCTTTCGTCGAGTCAAGGTCAATATGGTAGTACCATTAAGAGATTTGTCCAAGATCCGCCCGCGGCGGCATCGCTTGAAAGCTCGATTTGATACAATTGGAGTTCTCCTTTGCGTGAACCAGGAAATCCGCGTGACCGCAGATTACAAACGAGTGGCGCGAAAGGTACTCGGTTATGCGTGCTCGGTAGTTCCACATCGTCTGCTCTGGGATTCGCATCTGGCTCAAACGCCGAGAGCCGAGGAAGCGCGAGAGGCGGGAGTTTAGCGCATTGAGTATCTCCCACCCGCCGCACCCACAATGACATTACCTTTCGTCAACTATATAAGCAGAGTTCTCCCTTGTTTGAATGCGGCAAACTGCTCCATTAGTCGCCCGCTGTAGTTCCGCATCGTCTACTCCGCGATTCGCATCTGGATCAGACGCCGAGAGCCGAGGAAGCGCGGTAGCGGGGGAAAGTAGGCCACTCAAATGCTCCCGCCCGCGGTGAGTGGCTCAGATCGGCCCCCTTCATAACATCACTAGCCCGTGTGACCGCCCTTCCGCCCGCCAATTCTAAATCCTTTCAGCTTACTCGACATCATCGGACTGCTATCCATAAGCGCCTGTACAGTATCATTTGAAAGACCCTGACTCATTCCCGCCCGTGCATCTCAATGTCAGCGAGCTCACGCGATGGCATCCTGGTCATTTGGCGATCTGCACCATATAGTTAGCTTATTCATCCATTACCTGTCCGCCCGCTCGTCACGCTATAGAGCATTCAGCTCGCTCGATGACATCGTCTGGCTCCCCTAATCGATAGTCCGCAATTCTTACTATGGTCTCTCATTTCTCCGCCCGCGCATTGCACCCTTAATCCGCTGACTCGATGGCATCGCAGCAGCTTCGTGCCCTCGAATTCATGCTTCCAGCTCTGATGTCATCCCCGCCCGCCCGCATATCCCAGCTCCTATCAGCTCGATGGATGGCATCGCCATGGTTATTTATTATTCTGTTGTCTATCTCCTAGTAACTTCTATAG